TTTACTTCACACATTAGTTGACCAAGATTTTGCAAAAAATTATTATTTTTAACCATTTTAAGCAGGGGTATTTTCGTCTATATCATGACAACTTTATCTTTTGCAATATAAATATAATTATATAATAAGGAATAATGAAATAAAAAAAATCAACAAAAGGTTATTTTCTTCGCCTTACCCCATCACCCCCACCCACAACTGACCACGGCCACAAATCTCACCGTAAATTGTAAACAGCCCTACCACCACTACCACCAAACCAAAACCATCACTATAAAACCATCAAACCCAGGTTTTCCATTGCGAAGAGGAAGAACCCAAAAAAAGGCCAAAAAAACAACCGAACATCAAAACCAGAAAACGAGAAAAATTTGAAAACAAGGTTCCAGAAAGGACCATCGAACATCTATAGTCGAAAAATCAGAAAATAATTTAATCAAAAAAATAAAGGAAAAATTGCTTCAATGGTCCCCAACCTTTGATAAATATGCAACTGAGGTCCTTGACCGTTAGTTGACTAAGATTTTGCAAAAAAAAAAAAAAAAGAAAAGAAAAATTGGACCATTTGAAGCTAGGGCATTCTCGTCTATACCAATTTTTCCCTTTGGATTTAGAAACCACAATTAAACTTTTCCAAAAAAAATCTGCCATACCACCCCACCACGTTTTCATCTTTTTCCTCGAAACAAGACAATAATCCAAGATGCTAAAATAGATATGTGATTACTCTAGAATAAATAAGATAAAAAACATATATATAAATTTATGATAAAGAAAAATGTAACCTGCATAGACATTAGAATGACGTTATCTTGACATAATAAGTTAGAAAAAAGAATGGCCAAAACTGTTAATAGTCAGAACTCCTAAATACATTGGCAGAACAAATACGGCCTTAAACTCAAAACTTCTAAATATCACCTGTTCCAAGAATAAGAAAGAAAATGGAGAATCATGTAATTGCACGACTAGCATCACCAGTCGTCTGATGAAAATACAGTAGTACACCATAGGCAATCTGTAAAACAAATATGCAGTTATAATTTATAAAGCTGTTGTTCCATAAGGAAGATCATTGAATGATACAACAGACCATAATGTTTCTCACTGCTCCACATTATTTCTCAGGTTAAGTTGATGATATTTTTGTTTTTCCATTAGAATAACATATAAACAAGGAATTGCACTTATTAAAGAGAACTTCAGGGCATGCTGAAGAGCCATATAAAATGATTCTTACTGCCACCAGAAACATCGACCGACAAGCAAAGTTAAGTGTGCGTAAGAAATGATCCTCAATAGCATCTTGCCAGGATGCAATGAACATCGTAAGTGTGCCATGAGCCTCATTTATCTGTGTGATTTAAGGTGGTTATTAGAAATCTCCAAACTTTGATCTTTCATTCTATTCTCAATAGGTTTTGTGCATGAAAACTTTAAGATTCATAACTCCTATCTAACCTAGTAAGATAGGCTCATCTCTGCAGCTGTAGAATATGAAGACTTCATCGTCAACGCTTTGTCTCTACGTAAAGTAATATGGAAGCTGTCATCAACAGATGACATATTTGGTAGGGAGGGCCAGATAGAAATGAATAGTATTAAAAAAAAAAAACTAAAATCTAGTTCCTTGTTCATTATACTGTGTAGTCTAGTTGAATCCAATATTATGTATTAAACATGTACTAATTGGACTAATGACAAAAAGATTTGAAAATGTTACTGTTAAATTAGACTTTAGAAATATAACCCCAATACCAGAAATATCATTTAACTTCACTATTGGTGGATGACATTTGATTTGAAACAGGGACTCCCACTTATAGCACACTATGGTAATTGTAATTTTGTCTGAGGTTCATATCCAACAATAATGGTAGATCATTGCATAAAATCAAATCCTTTCAAATATTTGGTTGAATTTATTGAAGGGCTCCAGAAGACCAGTAGCATTATTTCATGGATATTTTTTAATCAAATGAATGTCATACAACATAACATAATTTTATCTACTTGGAAAATAGTGTGGATCTCAACCTGTTTGAAACGTAATACTGATATCAGTCCCTCCTATGTTCCAATAAATACAATTTCAATTGATACACCTACACCTACAATAGATACGCACACATAAAAAAAAAAAAGATAGAACAGCTCATCAATTACCATATACAGGCATTCCATGTGTAAAAATCCGGATCAAAAAAATTATCATTGTTATTTATGTTATCTTACATCGAATAAATCAACTTACAAGGATTTTGTTACTTCTCTTAATGAGGTTGACCTTTTAAAATGGAACTCAAGTCTTAATATGGTATCATAACCAATTAAACTCCAACGAGCAATTTGATCCAATTGAGACTCAAAAAAATTGAGTACACGGATTTCAAGTTTGGTGTGCCCGAGAGAAGAAAAATAGTTCAAGGGAATTAAATGCTAGCTCCTTTAAAACGATTGAAGAGAATAGATTAATGACAAATTACTGATAATTGTGATAGATTGAATGACCGAAATATAAAAGAAGGCAAACGAGATAGGAGAAAGCGGTGAAGGTGTTGCATGTGTTCTAAACAAAATTAGTTGCACACACTAATAACTACTATTTCGCGTGGTTACTCGCTAACAATTAAAAGAGGATCAGACGATTGTGTAAGGGACAAACCTCTTGAAACAAAGTCCCAAAAATGGGTGTTTATCGAATATGAAACTTGCAGTTAGGATACGAACAAGATGCCTCCAAGGAACGCACGCACACAAGTACAAGGAGATGAATTAATTAAAGTTAATCTAAGAAAAAGTAAATTACATATTCTCTGTTTGAGAGTGAATTTTGTCGGGGATTTCATCATTGTTTTCCTCTTCCTTTTATACTCCTTGGGCGGTTCTCAAATTTGGACTCTTCTCGTAACTACCCATTTCTTTCATAGTGGCTGACTGGCCAATAACTACCATTTGTAACTCCTACCACCACGTTTTCTTCATAACCGCTTGTCACTAATTTTCTCAAACCGTGGGATGTAATCGTGATGTGCTCAAATCGCCTCCAATCGTGACTTTTAGATAACGACAGGGTTTAGTCATCGCTAGAATTTTGGGCGATTTAGCAATTTGGGCGACGACTCCTTCGCTCTGGGCGTCCATAGGGTATTTTATTCGCTCAACATCTGGGCGTTCTGCAAGCTTGGGCGACGGCGTTCCTTTGTTTGTGGGCTTTTTACCCTTTGCTTGGGCTTTCATCTTGGATTCTCAATTGGGCTTCACTCTTTAGGTTATTTAATTTGGACTGCACTTTTAGTGTGTCAACAACTACATACAGCAAACAAAAATTATTGCAGATTTTCTGGCCAAAATCAACTGATAAAAATATTTTGAATCACAAACAATATCCTTCCATAAACAAACAGCAATATGGACATAGAGATGGCAAAGGACGATAATCAGAAAAATACAACTGTTTGAGATTCCAGATCTTCTTTGTGGTCAGAGTTCGGTCATCTTGCTTGCAGATTAATTCCAGTGCGTCACCAAAAAGTTGAAACTTTAATGCTTTCGAAAATACCTAACTCGTATGTCCAGATTATTCATAATCTCTGAGAGCGCAACAGAGTATGCCAATTTAGTAAGAGGACTCAAGTAAAAAATTAAGTACATTCCAAACTATTTTATTAGGAGAAAGACTTTTAAATAGAATGAATCCACATAATCTTAGAAAGACAAAAGAATAGATATTTCTATGCCATAAAAATTTCCGAGCTCTCTTAGTTGAAATCCCTCAGTCTTTTCTTTAGCACGTCCATCGACCTTTTTGGATACTTTGCTTTGAGTTTCCTCTTGAAAGACTTCCAAAAAGCCTATCAGGCGAATCTTTGAACTTGTCACATATAGTAGCCACCTTCTCATAGTCCAGACAATTGTAGTTCTTCTCCCTTATCACGGGATTCATAAAGTTTTCAGGCTGACTGCTCAAGAGAAGGTTTACCAATTGTCTGGCTTCTATCAAGCACCTCGGAAGCTCCCTTCACTGTGTATCTCATGCAATCCAGTACTATGAAACTTCTCATCGGCAAAAGATTCCAATGCATTTAGGTCATGGTTGATGCTCATGACTGCATTTGTGTTAAAACTCTTTACACTATCACTGAGAAAAGCTCCCAGAATAGAGTTAGAAATATGCTCAAGAGCGTCAATCCCAACTTTATATAAAGCATCCAAAGGCAAAATTTGTTGCGCAGTGGATACAAGTGTGTCAAGATATATAACAACCTCATTAACGTACTCATTTGCATGCTGGGGTACATCATCAGAAGTCCAATTTACATTTTCTGTGAGTGACATAAACTCATCTAACTTGGAGTTTACAAGACTCAACAGAGCAAGATAAGCAGCATCCCTTGAAGTTTTAAGTACAATCTTGGCTCTTAAGCTACCTTGACGACTATCAACTGATCTGACAGGAATCCCACATTGTTGGGCAGCATGCTGAAGAAAATAATCACATTCCCTTTCCAAAACAGCTACGTTGGCAGCAATCTGCATTGCTTGAGAGACCCCGATGGTGCCACTATGCATTAAGTATGACTTCATTTAGGACATCAATCAAGAGTTTGTCCAATACTTCCGCCCAATTTCAAAAAAGTTCATCTGCACCACAGAAGACAAGTAATTAACAGAGTCCTTAGTAAATGATCGAACAATCCGACAGCATTCAGGTACCATAGAAGAGAATGGGGTAACGCATGGGAAAGCCGGTATTATATCTGATGTTTGAAGATGGAATATAAGAACATTTGTCTGGTAGTCTGACTCCTTTTCCATGACCATCTACTCATATGTGTCACTGGCAAGGACTTCAGTAATCTGTTGACGACACTCTGCTAAAAGAAGCTCGTGATATTTGTCACTACTAATGTTCAATGTCTCGAGAATTGAGCCCACTTCATAACCATATTTTCTAAGGGTTGCCCCAAGAAAAGTTACATAATCCTTCACCAGGAGGAGATGGTTTGCTGTATCCGTATGCGAAAATTGTTCCTCCAAGATTGAAGTTATTTTAGCCGCAGCTGTTTCCCACATCATCTTGAGCTGATTTGGTGAGAGCAGCCCACTGGCAGTCCTTAGGACCCTATCTTCAACAATAAATAACCAGCAATTAGAGCCAAAAAGGTCTGATGGGATTTGAGAAACGGTTGTGCAGAGGATATTTGCAAATCTGACTTCAGCTACAGAAACCGATTTTTGTAATAATAGTCACGAAACTGCTCTTGAATTCTGCTTTGAGGTCAAATTTTAGAACAGAATTTTCATCAATTTCTTCAACATCTAATGTGTAAGCGAAATCTCCTTAAAAAAAAAAAAAATTGTTCCTCAGCTTTCCTTTGACAAGCCAGCGTATCCTCATCCCTCTGACGGGCAGATGCAGCATACCCTATAGCAGCTTTCCCAATATCCTTCGCACCGCTCCTTGTGTGAACTAACCATTCATTAACCTCGCTGCATACCTTCTTCTCAATGTGTGACTTTATCAACGGTATTCTCTTCTCAATAAGCATCTTGAGTGCCTTCACAGGAATATTCTGCAAATAATTTTTCTCAATCTGATCAACAGCTTTTAAAGCCAGGTAAAACCAACCTTCTGAAATATGGTTATTACACTTCAAACAAAGATCCAAAGCGAAAGCACAGTTCTTTAACATCTTAATGGCTTTAGTAACATCCTTCTTAATCAAATAAGATTCGAGAAGCTCTTCAAGTTTCAAAAGTAGGGCGCTCCCAACCTCTTGTAACCTAAAATTCTCACTTGCAAGCTCGCTTTTCAGCTCTTCTGCATCAACTAGGACACCACGAATCTCATCAACAGCAAGTATAAAATCCTCATAATGGAGCTTGCAAAGTTCCTCAATTTCAACTTCTTTTTTTCTCACTACATTCTTAAGGTGTTGCATAAGGGTTTCCAGCTTCCCCGTCTCAAAAACAAGTTGGACCATAGGTCCGAAATCCTCCCCATTACTGACCATAATACTTAGAACGAAGTCCTCGCCTGCCTCGCCATTCTCCACTGCTGGTCTCATCTTCATTTTAGCACTCATTTTTCTAATCAAAACCCCTGTGTTAATCAAAGGCAAGATACTTCAGTAAATTAACACTCCTAACATTCATGGCATTCTTGCCTCGGCTGCAATCAAAATGTGGCCTTATTTCAATTTGACGTGAAGAATGCCTTTCAACATTCCTAACATTCATGGCATTCTTGCCTCGGCTGCAATCAAAATGTTGCCTTATTTCAATTTGATGTGAAGAATGCCTTTCAACAACATAAGGGAAGGGGGGATCCGAAATAACCAAGATTCTCAACATCAAAAATGAAAACACATAACTGCTTAAAAATGTATATCCCCAGTTTTTTAAAAAACGAATGCAAGTGTATCAGCAAAATTTTACCCAGATTGATGTAAGGTTTCGTTGAGCAACAATAATAACTACAAGAAATGGTGATACAGAAAAACGCATTATGGAAAGAAGCTTCAAGCACCTATTTTCAGAAGATTTTGGTTGCCCATTTTTTAGATCCATTTTCTTCTTAAGTACCCCCAAATTAATATCCAAAAAATAGAAAAAAAAAAATGGTCTTACAAGTAGGTTTTCGTTGATAAAATCTATCAATCATTTTCATCAAGAAAAACTCCATTAAACTAAATACAGAAAACTAGAAGATTGTATACTTAAATGGGTTCAGCATATAAATAGAAATATACAAGCAACACGATCATCAAGAAAGAAATTTGTGAATCGAAAAATTCAAGAAAAGTTATAAAAGATCACTCTTTTGCCTGAAAGAGCAGAATCTTGATTCTTACGGTAATCAGACGCTGAGAAGCCCAGAATTCTCTTTTCTTTACTCAGAAAATGTGGGTTGAACTTGAATCTTCCTTTTTTGCGTAATCTTAACCTTTTCTGGTGTTTTTCTTTAGATTTGAGATTTCTATGTGTATCCTTTTCGATGTATTTTATGTCAAGGACAGCTACAATTACTGCTCGTTTGGTAGGGAATTTTGGGGACGAATTGATTTTGAATAGTGATAGGATGAAAAAATGTGTGATTGAAAATGAGAGAATCAATTCTGAAAATCAGAAACAAACACCCCCTTAATATTATTCCTGCTGTTCTATTGGGATTTTTTTAGCAGACATTCTTTCTTAAAGCAAAGTCGAAATCCACAATTATAATGCAACAATCATTACAATAATTCATTAATTTCGGGCTTTCATTTCAATGATTGATTTTGCATTCGGTACTTTTGTGTGCAATAGTAGTTAAGATCCAACTCGTGAAATAGTAGCTCAAGTTCATAGTTATGTTTTATGAGTTTTTATGGTTATTATCCTTCCTATGTCTTTATTTTTTTATACTAGAAAACGGACCACTTGACACGAATAGTCTGAATGGCGTCCAAGAATTCCTCTCACCCAAACGTAAAGCCCCTCAACAAACCTTTCACTTACATGGATAGCAATCTCCACATAAACGAAAACATCGGACTTTAGGTAGAATACAACGATGATACTTTCTTATAATGCAAGTACCACTAATACTACGTACCAAACAACTTACGACAATCCCCTTCAACAATTTGAGTTGGGCATGGGATCGCAATCACGCCAACCACTCGATTCATGTTCTTAAGTTCCAATCTAGCCCCTATTTGTCTCCCATCATGGGAGAAAGAATAGAGTTTTGAATAATATTTGTTGGAGAATGTGTGGTTAAAATTTAAAGAAACTTTATTGGTTTGTGTGTAGAATATTTTATTGTGTGAATGTGTGGTGGAGAAATGATACTGTAGCAAACAATTTAGAGCCTGTCTGCCCCAACTTTAAAGCTGAATTTTAATCTATAAATTGACCGTTGAGCCGTAATTTTGGACCATTCATCTCACAGGTAAGGCCCACGTACAGGAAAATAACGGGTGGAATTTGGTTTATAATGTTCTCCAAACAAGCACTTAATTTTTAAAGGATAACAAACACATCCCTAATATAGTTCGCATCGATGAATGGATTCACGATTAAGTCACTTAACTTGAAAAGTTGAAAAAATGAAATATAAATGTTAATTTAACTCACCTAGGAAGAGGCCTATCCCAAACCAAACCTCATCCAAAATGTGGATAACAAAAGCAGCTGCCCAACTGTCTTAACCACCTCTTTAAATCACAAAATCCCTCTCTCTCCTTCGCTCTCAATCTCAAAAAAATGGCAGCAGCTTCAGCGCCACCAGTCTCCACCATTTTCTCCGCCACAACTCCAACCTCAAAACCCGTATTTATATACTCAAATTTTTCTAAGCTAACTCTAAATCCCCATCAAAGTTCCAAAGAATTGACCTCTATTTCAAGAAGACAATTCTTGAATGGATCGCTTGCTTTAGTGCCACTAGTGATATCTCCGCCTCCACCTTCTCAGGCAAAGGAAATTGAAGTGGGATCTTACCTCCCTAAGTCGCCGGTCGACCCTTCTTTCGTTCTCTTCAAAGCCACCCCTAAAGATACCCCTGCTCTTCGTGCAGGTAATATTTGTATCATATTGATAATTGATCGAAATATGTTTACTTGAGTTGTCTGTACACATTCTTGCAATTCTATGTTAATGTTGTGATTTAAGTGGCGTGGTCTCGAAATCAAAGTCTCATTGTGACTCATTTGTAAAAATTGCTTACGTTTATTATGAAGAGGAATCCAATGTGCATACTATGGAAATTGTGTACATTTTCAGTAAGTTTTACTGTAAAGTGATTCCTTTTATACACCATTTTTTCTTAGGACTCATTGTTCTTTGTACAGTGGTGATGTCAATAAACAACTAAAAACCATAATTTTGGTTAACATCAACATTTGAAACTACCAAATCAGTCGAGACTAAAAGTATGTTAAATCTCAAGTTCGAATTATGAAGGATTACTTTGAAATCTAAAGGTTTAAGTTGACAAGAACTAAGACAAAATACATGCTATGAGTGTTGTCCGCAAAAGTGACTGGTTTAGGATTTAGGGTCAATTATTAATAATGAAGAGGATGTAATGCATAAAATTATAGCGGGTTGGATGAAATGGAGAAGTGCTACAGGAATTCTGTATGATAAGATGATCCTATTATACACAAAGGACTATATTAGGTGGTTGGGACATGGTTTGCATGGAGTTAAAGAGACTCGTTCATAAGAATCTAGTTGCTTTGGAGATTCCACTAGATCTAGCAATGCAGAGTAATGGTGAAGAAGATTTCATTTGCCAACTCCAAATTTATTGGGAGCAAAGCTCAGTTTGTTATAGGTGTATTTGCTGCTAATCAAAGAAACGACCATACCTAACACAGTTATAGTATATCTACAGCAGTTATAGAATTCGTAAAACACCAATGTATAGTTTCCAATTTGTTATTGGGAAAAACATTTAAGCTGGGTTGACTTTCACAGTACCACTCAGTTTATGTAGGGTATTTTCTTTTCTCAGTAGTCATTTTTTAGTATTAGAGACAGTTCATGGCAATCAATATTATACATGTTTGCAACATACTTCCATGTCAAGTAACTTGAAAATGCAATGAATGGATGTCGTTTAGCCCCGTACTTTCACTAATAATCGTACTACCAACAGAAACCTTTGGGATAGATCCTCATCTTCCAAGAATAAGTATTTCAGAGAAGTTAAAAAAAATGTTCTAGCATTTCTAAACATGTTTCATCCATCCTTTCATAGAGGTCGCTGACGATTGCTATTTGCTAGTGTTACATCATCTATTGTATTTGTTCTTCTATTTCGCTAATAATTCCATTTTATGAAGAAAGAAAATAGTGATATGGTTATGACTCAAATGTCTATGATTGTCACAAATTCCTAGATCAGATATTGAAAATATATGGGGGACAATCTTTGAAGCATTATTGGATATCATAGAGCTTCTTTAAAGTAGGAAACTCAAACTGTGCTTTTAGGAGAGATGAAAGCACTTGGAAGTATCGGTGAAAGATCTAAATTCTCGTTCACTCTCGATAAGGGAAAGGAAAAGTGGATAACTTTTAGTTCGTCAAATTCTTCCCTTATGGAATGTATCTTATAATATCAGCATGATGTCACAGCCGATGCTTAATAATGTCATCAGCTAAGGTCCATGCAGAATTAGCATTCCTGTTTCTGCGCTTTTAGGTATTAAAATATGTTTTATGATTTCATTTAATGTCGACTACATAACTATCTGCAAATGGGGTTATATATCTAATGAATGATATCCTATGCATGTTGGGAACTTGCATTTATCTAGGATTTGCATGTTGAAATTTTGAGATTTTCTGTGATAAGTTTTGATCTAAAAACGGAGAATTGACCTCCATTTCCTGTTGATCAGTTCATTCAAAAACTAGTATCAGAGGGCTGCAAAATTTGTGTATGAAAAGGTACTAAAGAGGCTCCTCTTCATTAGAGCAAAGCATTCTCCACAGAACATGTCATGAGAGGGAGGGATAGACCAAAACTAATGCAGCATGCAGCTTCTAAAAATCTAATTGCTTTAGATATTCAAGTAGCTGGCAATAAATCGAAAAGATTGGCAACCAAGGATTCTATATGCTAAGTCTTCGTGAATTTGGTGTTCCTTTTCTATATGCTTATGAAACTCTGAATCTAGTTGTCTGCAGGAAATGTACAGCCATACCAGTTTATCCTTCCACCAACTTGGAAACAACTACGCATAGCCAACATACTATCGGGAAATTATTGCCAACCCAAGTGTGCAGAGCCTTGGGTCGAAGTAAAATTTGAAGATGAAAAACAGGGAAAGGTTCAGGTGGTAGCCTCTCCTTTGATACGCTTGACGAACAAACCCAATGCGACAATTGAAGACATTGGGAGTCCTGATAAGCTCATTGCTTCCCTTGGACCTTTTGTTACGGGAAATACATTTGACCCAGATGAACTCATTGAGACTTCTGTTGAGAAACACGGTGATCAAACTGTATGATTTTCTAATCTTTAGTTCTTCAAATCAATGCTCTTACCTATTCTCTTCTCCCCTGCTCAAAGGTTAATATTCTGTTTTTGTGTATGCAGTACTATAAATACATTCTAGAGACTCCATATGCTCTCACAGGATCACACAATCTTGCTAAGGCAACAGCAAAGGGAAACACGGTCATCCTCTTTGTGGCAAGCGCGAATGATAAGCAGTGGCCGTCATCACAGAAAACTTTGCAAGCTATACTTGATTCCTTTGAAGTTTGATTCATTGTGGAACGAGAAAACTGTAAGCCATTTAACTTTTGATTTGTATGGAGTATCCTAAAGATGTCGTCGTGATATAAACTATTTGTAACTAGTGAACAAACTGTAGTTTTCTTGAATACATATCTATTTATGGATCTATGTGCTTCGATTGGAAGTGTAGGTTTCCCTCTAATTCTACAACAACTAAGAAAGGAAGGTTTACTTTTATCATATGTGATAGTCGAAATGACTTGTGTTAGTACTCTTAGAAGACTGCTTGTTTGACATATGTAATTATAACGCATTGTGGATGTCAATAATTATAAACATATAATTAGAAATTGGGTTGATCATGGTCAAAATAGTACCATGCTTGACTCATGCATTTATCCTATTATACTGCATCCATCAACCGAACAATAGACTCAGCTAGGGTTTGGCAATAATTTTCACGAGAGAGTGGAATTGAATCCTCCCATCTCTAATTCACTAATTAAAAATTCTTGTAATTACATCATATTTCACTATCATCACAGGTTGAACCGAATATGCTAGATGAACATTATGATACGTGTGGAGCATCTACACTTTTCCCCCACGACACGTATTAGATCACCTTAATATTTTCCTCTTGTAAGAATGGTATTAGGACGAACCTCCATCTGTGTATCATAGATGGAGAAAAGAGAGAGATACATGAACCCAAAATACATGGTATTCTCTTCTTCGATATAGTAAAATTCGAGAACACCTGATGCAATAAACATTGAAGGTGAAGCACATTATTGATTACTCTCGGCAATATAAATATTACAACCAAATAGATTATACAATACAAACATACTAGAAGCTATAAATTTAGGACTGCATATTAATGACAATAAAACAATGTATCAATACACATAAGGAGGCTATCCAAAGGTATCCTTACATAGGCATATATAAGTTATGTAACTAAGCTCTAAAGACTGTTATTACTTGGATATCTACAAAACTTTTTCAAGAGATACATCTGGCCTTTGTCCGTATCTCATTCCTAGGTACTCACTAGATGAGGACCCGAACCCTTAAAAGGAAGCATGCACGAATATGTTACATACTTGACACTGTCGATTAGTACAACAACAAAAATCCGAGAGAGGGGCTTCACTCCCATCATGCCATCCCCGTCAACATCACCTGCCTCCCTAGGATCGAAAAGCACAGAAACTACCATTGAAGAAATTGAATTGTTTCCATTCAAGTTCTCTTTCTGTGAATTCCTTTCTGCATGTTCTTTAGAAATGTTATGAGAGGTTCCAGAAAGGGGAATGGGAATACTGCGACTGCGGAGGATTCTTCTATTCCGTCCCTTGCGGTGGTATGTAGAATTCTGAATCTTTTCGGCTTCTGCAGTAATATTCCCCACAGTAGCTCTAACTAAGGCTCCAGATGCAGAAGCTGATGAAATGTCAAACTGGAACACTTCAGTACACATTCCAGAACTTAACATTGGCCCTGCACAAAGGAAATCAACAAAGCATTACAATTTGGGAACTACACATGACGACCAGAACTGCATGAACATGCATAGATTCCAATTTGAGTCATACATAGCGAAGGCTATAGAAATGTATACTTTTTTTTTTTTTTCATGATTATTCATCCTCGTTTACTTTTAATAAACAGAAAAACAGTGTTATTATTCCAGAACTAGAAATGGTGTTTGAACAACGAAATTGGCATCAACTTTTAATGCGATGGAAAGTAACCCATCAGCGCCAACACCTAGAAACAGATTCAAATTATGCAAAACAGTGGCCCGATTAAATACAGTCCCCAGTAGGCATGAGGCAGTTGAAATATCTTAAAACAATGCACGCAAAGCAGGAGCATGTTGATCAACCAAGAAGATTGCAAAGCCTTTATCATAACCTATGATGCACAGACTCGGGTATGGGTATCGGGTAAGTATGTAAGTGTCGGATCTTTTATTTTTTAAAATGTAGGATACGGGGACAAGGTTAAAAAGAGTTCAAGTTTTGGTCTTGGTACGTGGGCACATCTTTCAAGCTTCAGTTTATTTTTTTAAAATGTAGGATACGGGGATATGGTTAAAAAGAGTCCAAATTTTGAAAGAAGGAAGAAGAAGAAGAAGCAAAAAGGACGAAGTCTCCGGTTGAAACTTGGAGGATCCCACACATATCACATACCCATACCCCATGTCATGTTCGACACGGGTACTCCAACTATTTCGAAGAGTCCGAGCATCATATATCATAACTCATATCTATGCAGATAAATGACTTCTGCCAATATAGCTAATTTATCAAAAAGCCAGAATGAAATGTAACAATGAAAAATGCTTACCAGCAAGGCCTTCACGGAACCACTGTTGAACCCTGCCATCAGCTGCTTTAGACTTTAGATCTCTGTCTGCAGAACTGGAATCAAGAGCTCTCAAGTGAGGAAGTCTTCCACCATTTCTTCCAACACCAGGAACAGGAATAGCAGGAGCCAAATCATGAGGAACAGCCAGGCCAGTCTCATCACCTGTCTTGGCTCTGTCATCTTTATGCGTAGCCATGGCTTTCTCACTCGCCAAAACAGAATGAATAATCAAGTTCCCGTCAATCTTGACAAGCTTATCATTCCTGGGAACATACAAAGATGCCACGAGAGGATCATTCCCATTGCCCACACGAGCGAATTCATCCACACTTTGCCCCCCACCACCGTGACCTCTCCAACCACAACTCTTAGTACAATTAAAATCTCTCCCATCAACGAATTTCTCACCATTTTCGGTTCCATTAACTATCAAAACCCTTCCACGATGCTTCTCATAAAACCTGCCTTCAGCATACGTGTCTCCACCCGTAAATGACTCCGTCACTCCACCATACCTTACATTCACCATTGGCACCAACCCACCAAACAACATTATAAAAAAGAGCAATCCCAGGAAACTAACACCAGCAACCTTCTTAGTTTTCACCTCATCATTCTTCTTCTTATCGACCTTCTTACTTGGCTTTGGTGCTGCCACGGGCTGTTGCGGTTTCAACTTTGGGATAGGCACCAATGGCTGAGATCCATGTGGTTTCATCACATAAGGTGGGGGATACTGCGTCCACGGATACATCATTGCTGGATGTGGGTACACTCCGGGAGGTGGTGGTGCCATTGGGGGAGGCAGGACTGTGCCAGTGCCACCGCCCAATTGCTGCCTTAAAGTCGCATTTTCTGCCATGAAGTATGAAATCTTCGCATTCAAATCTTGAATTGTCGAGTTCATCAACCTCACCTTGTCCTCCAACTCCTCGACGTGGTGTTTCTTTCTTTGCCTTGACAATTGTGCACTCTCTCTATTCCTCATCAACCTTGCCTTCCTCTTCTCATCCTCTTCACTCAACTCACAGCCATTGGTATTATTATTTTCAACACTGTTGCTCGATTTCCTATATTTATTAATTCTTGACTCGATATTAGTATTAGTTGAATCTCCACTCTCTTTTTTCCTCTTCAACGCAGAATTACTGACATCAACATAGGCTGATTTATCTAATTTAATCTTCTGATCAACAATTGAACTACCGTCAAAATTAGGAAAAACATTTACCGATTGGGCACAATTATTCGACTCCACCGAGACATTCGAGCCACAATTCTCCGAACGAGGGGATTCGGGCGAAAGGCAATTCAAACCCTTCTCGCCGCCACCAGAATTCTCCGAGCTCCGACGATTCGATCCATTCGACTCCGGGGACGGCACGTTAAGGTAACCAGAAATTTGAGCAGACTCCGCAGCCAGCAACTCAGAATTCGAAACCCCAGACCCATTCAAGCTCTGATCACCGGAGAAATCCCCATTAATGCCATCGCATAGATGACGTAATTCCACCGAGGTTAACTTGAAAACACTGTAGGGATTTTCCAGGTCTGTCCCGGATCCAGGTTGGCTTTTAAACGATTCAGGTTGAACTTGAATTGGGTCGGCGACGGGATTTATGAGGAGATCATCGAGGTCAGATGAAGGAAGATACAGATCGTCGAAGGAGAAATCGAAATCAATGTCTAAGAGGTCGTCGTTTCGGTTGTTATCGTTGTTATAGGGTGAGGTCAGGTGCTCGGAAAAGAACGAAGGATCAAGGGGTGGCATTGAAAGGCCGGAATCAAAATCATTCGCGCCGGTAACGGGCGGCGGAGGGTCGGCTACCACCGTCGGATCAGCCATTACAAGGAAGAAGACCACCGGATAGGGTTCAATTCAACGCTTAATTCAGCGTTTAGGTGGTGGAGAGCGGTCTAAAAATCGCGAGGGTGATACATACATTATATTCAGAGAGATAGAGATAGAGATAGACGCGTTGAACTGTTGTGTAGGTTACATGCCTTTAAGTCATTTCCTTTTTAATAGCATATTTGTTTTAAAGTTAATAATGCAGATAAGGAATTATATTGCATACGACTGATGAATGCGATTCGGTGAATTTCGTTTGCAAGATTCACTATGTCGAACAGAGACGATATGTTATGACGATTTCAAACTGATTATATAATAAGTATTTATTGTTAATTGGTATAATTTAACAAATTAAGCATTTTGGTCGAATAAATAATTGACTTACTCTTGGGCTCGTCTCACAAATAAAATTTGCGTATATATTTACAAAGTTGCTGAAAGGATAGAATCGAGGACAATTGTAAATGAAAAAATTTCACTTTCAATTCGAATTACTTATTTGTTTCACAAATAACGATTCCAAGACAAAAAAAAAAAAATTAGGTCAACCACTTACCATTTTGTTGAAGTGTTAATTAATTAATTAATTCATTATTGTATAAATAAATATTGTAATAAAAAAAAAAAAAAGTTAGGCACAATTAAGGGACCATCAGCGCGTGACTCTCAAAATGAGTGATGAGAGTGGTTAAAAGATTCTCTCTCACGGTGACTCGAAACTTCTCGCTTGACTTTGTGGTCGAAACCTTGCCTTTACGTTACGCATGACTCGGTCCAACCCGTACGGGCCCGACCCGACTTGTTATACCTTAACGGTTTAACCCATTAATAACTGATTTTTGACTCTTTTTTCGGTTACTGGATAATCTATTTTAATTGTAATTGGATGCTTTAGATTGAGCCCCTGCCCTATTTGGTAGATTAAAATCAAAATTTTAGTAGATTTTGATAAAAATAAATAAAATATCGAGTTTAAAAATTGTGAATCTCATAAAATATACTATTAAAATTAATTGTTAACTTTGTTTTGAGATTAAAATCAAATTTTAATTCATACCGCACAATCTTGTTTAATTTGTGTCTTTTGATTTGTTTGAATATTGGAGTGGACTGAATCGGCCTTGATAATATTAAAAAATATTGAAGTTTGTCTATAATTTTGTCCAGGTTTCTCTAAAAATTAAGCGTGTATTTTGGACATTGTGTACGAAGTAATGTTATTCATCACCACTGGAATTACAAACACAATTTAAGTGACCTTAATGTAGCATTAAATTATAGATGAAATTAAATAAACAAATCTGATAAAATTTTGGAAGGATGTTGAACCTTCTTTTATCCTTTTTTTTTTTTTTTCCTATTTTTAGTTTCTCAATTTCTTTTTTTTTTTCTTTTTAATTTTGAACGTGTCCACATCAGCAATCCATTATAGTGTGTGTTTGGTAGGGATTTTTAGGGGCAAAATTGATTTTTGAATAGTGATATGATGGGAAATGTGTGATTGAAAAATAAGAAAAAAGTATTGATATCATGGAAAATATTATTTTATTGAAGAATGTGTGGTTGAAAATGAGAATTGATTTACTGTAGAAAATGAAAATCTGCACCAAACATGTCCATAGTAAGCTCCTGTTGGATAATCATTATTTCAAAATTTTTTATTCTGTATACTCATTTTCAACCTAACATCACACAATAAAATATTTTACACGTAAATTCAAAATTTTTTCTTACTGTTTAACCACGTATTTTCTTAAAAATTACTATTCAAAATATTATTTTTTCTAAATAATGGTTGTCAAACAGGGGCTAAATGTCTACCATTAAATTTACCAACAACTCCATACAAAGCAACAAATTATGCATCGAAATTTAAGTTGAGTGGCAGTATTGTAACAAAATGAAGTTGGGTAATATAATTGAGATTTCGGTGAAAGTTGGATGACTGTAAATGCAATTAACCCCACTATAACAAATTAATGGTGGGTTTTGATTGTTCGAGTAGTATTATTCATGGACATTGCTACGTGTACAAGGGATTTTTATGGACAATGCTATATGTTACACAAGTGTGTTAAATGACTTTTGACTTGTTTGATTAGCAGATTTCAATTGATAGTGTCGTATTAATTAAAGAAGATAATATTGCAGTTTGTCTAATAATAAATACAATTTAGCCTATGGTTAATGTAGATTAAAATTTATTAATTTTACCTATATGTTTTATGAAATTCACAACTTTTTAACTATACATTTCATTATTATTATTTTTTTATCAAAATTTATTAAAAATTTGATTTTAATATGCACCACATTCTAAAGGTGGATATGCCCGATATACTTGGGGTTCTTGTTAGGGAAAAATTTATGAATCAGACATTTACTTTACCAAAATCAAAAATCAGGTCCTCAAGTTTAAAATTACAAAAATCGGGTTTTTTTTAATTAATTAATTATATTTCACAATTATTATATTAAATTAAATATTTAACTGTAATATAATATAATTAACCCCACCCCACCACACCACACCTCACCTCACCTCCACCACCATCACCACCACCACCCCCATTGCTCCCGCGACTGTTTTCCAGCCGTACTTAATTCCGGCGACTACTCCGGTGACCATTCTGCCACTGCTTAATTCCGCCGACTGCTCCGATTCTGGCAATTGTTAATGTCACAGTTATATGCAATTTGGTCACAGATTATTTCGAAGTCACAGATCAAAAATGATAAAAAAATTATATATCACATGTTATATTTTAAGGTCACAGAGTAATGAATTTTAAGGTCACAGTTACCATATAGATGGGTCACAGATCATTTTATTGGTCACAGATCAAAAAAATTATATGTCACAAGTCACGTATTTTAAAATTTGTGGGTCACAGTCAAATAGCTAAGTCACAGACACCCAAAAAAAATCGTCACTATTCAATAGCTAGGTCATAGATATCAAAAAAAATCGTTCAATAACTAGGTCACAGACACCTAAAATATCGTCTTCCATCCTAATCCACCACCAATAATAGTCACAGACACTCCTAGCTAAGTCACAGACACGAAAAAAATCGTCACGGTTCAATAGCTAGGTTACAGATACCAAAAAACACTGTTCAATAGCTAGGTCACAGACACACCAAATAGTTGGTCACAGAAACACTTCGTCCCATCTGCCCGACGTCGCCGCCCCTCCATCACATCAACCACCGATAACACCGTCGACAACCAACCACACACAGATCCGCCCGCAACAGCCACACACACAGATCTGCCACGCCAAAATCAAGAAACCACTGCAAAATCACCACCACTAGCCCGACCACCACCTTACCATTTTCATTTTCAAAAAAATCACAATGTGTAAATCACTAACAAGATTTGAGAATGAATAAAAACTCAATATCACCATAAATCAAAAATCCAAGATCTGGTAGTAGGAAAAAAAAAGATTCGGCAGCAGCCACGGTCAGCAGCACTGCCGTGCAGCCGCGCAGCCTGCGACGCTGCTGAACGGCAGCGACGTTGCTGCCGTTCAGCAGCAGAGGAAGGGAGGGGGAGGGCGAGGGGCGGCGGGCGGTGGCAGTGGAGGCGGAGGCGACGGTAGAGATGAGAGAGATAAAATGGAATGAATTAGGTTTTAGTTGGGTTTTATATTTAAATAAAGTTGGTGGGGTAGGTAGTAGGGTGGGTATATATTTAATTTAATTTAAAAATATTATTATTAATATTAATTGTGAAATTAAAACCTAATTTTTAATTAAATAAAGTAAAAAACTGATTTTTTAAAAGTCAAAACTAAACCGGTGGTTTAATGTATTTTCCACTTCTTGCTATGAAGGACAAGGAAGCCTATTGGACAATTGAGACCACAAGGGGCCCAAGTAAATGTGGACTTTTACATGACGGACTGATTAGGCCGTAAACATCAAGGATAAAAAAACATAGTTAAACACCAAGTGCGTGGGCTCATTTAAAGGCCAACTACATCTTCAAGCCCGTTTTGGAACGGGCCACCGTACAAGTTACCATGGACCAACTAAATTAGTCCACATCTAAGCTATCGCTGGTGTGGGGAATTGAATGAACAATTGAACGTCAATGCTCTCATTTTCGCCACGAGATAATATCTAAAAAAAATCTCACATGTTGGTTAACAAAGGATATACCACTTGAGGGAGGGCTAAATCAATCAGATTCAAACTTGAAAATAATGATTTTTTTCTTGAACTTCTATGCAGACATTACATGAATGACTCTTTCCTAACTTAAGTATTACTTTACTAAACAATGAATAGTAAAGCCAAAAGGGGGCCGCAGTTGTGTTATCTCTAATTTTAAGTCAAAGCTTCTCGAGGTATAAATCCGGAGACGTGGGTCAGCCCCATGAAGGCAGTTGTGTTTTTCATTTTCTTGGTAAAAAGCGATTGGAAGAATATTATAGTAATATTTTAGGTTCGAAGATTTGCTTAGTATGGCGTGGCACGAAGTTGATGTCGAACCTATGGATGATTCACACCTTATCATTCTAAAGAAGAGTCGATACATGTTATACTTCTAATTATAAGTTTAATGACTATTTCTGTTAATCCTAATGAGTTGTTAATGCTTCAAGTGACGCAAACACAAATACACCTAATTTCTGAAGGCCCATTTGACAAAAGTTTTTAAATGGTCAAAAATTGCTTCCGAGACTAAGAAATTATTTTTGTACATATTTGGATAATTTTCTAGCAGTACTTTGTCGGATTAGAAATTTTTTTAGAAGAAACTAACATAAAGTACCATCATTAGAAAATTCTTCAACAAAAAATAAAAGCAAAAACAAAACCTACCAATCATGTCCTTATTATACTAGAAAACAAATGTAAGCACATGGTTTAAGGATCATGCGGTGGGGTTAGTTGTCTATTAAAAGGCAAAGATACCAAGGAATAATTCAGTGCCAGCTTTATATTATATTATAATATCCATATATTAGGCACTATGTTTTCTTGATATTATAAAAATATAGACTTCATAGATAATCAATGAAGTTTTTCTTTATAAGTAAAGATTGTACGAATGTGGATGGGAAATTTTGCATTTTATATGGCATGCCAATACTCTTTTGATGAGGTAATGAATGGATGTGATCTGTTTGCATATTTAAAACATCAAGAATCGTGCCGATGTAAGCGGGTGCACATTTTCGACAATCTCTACTAATTTAAAATTGCAACTATTTATGCAATATAAAAACTTCAGCCATATTCTCTTTACCATTTTCAAATCGTTTTCTATTTTCGATTTTTCAAAACATTAAAACGCGTTCTCTTTCCTATTTTCGAAGACGCGTTTTTGAAAATAAGTTAAAAATTTACATAGAAAACCCAAAACGGCAAATTTGTCATTTTATGTGTTTTCAGTTATAATCAAGTCAAAATTTTTAAAATGCGTTTTGAGTTTTTCAAAATGTCAAAAAGAACAGATTTTCAACGATCTCAAAATGGACACTCAAAACATAAAACTCAAAATGAATTCAAAACTTAAAACACAAAATTGAAATACAAAAAGAACAGTCCCTTAAATACTAGAGAATATAAAATTTTATTTAAATTACGTCTTTGATATGCTTTCCTACTTGTAGGTTGGATTATTTTTTTCCGTCAAAAGTCGGCATGTGCATATTTTTTGCATTACTAGGCACGCTTATTTTTCTACTCATTTTCAACCACACATTCTTCAATAAAATAATATTTTTTATCATATCAATAACTTTTTCTTCTTTTTCAACCACATATTTCTCGTCACATCAACAGTAAAAATATATTCTTACTTCCAAAATGTGCACCAAGACTTAAATTTTTGCTCTCTGATATGTTACCTTAAAGTTTAAACTGAACATGCCGACCCTTTTTGAATATCATCATTAGATGAAATTCTCATATAACAATGATGATTCCTATAGATTTCAAAGTCATGATGAGAGTAGACTTGTGAATTGCATTGAGATGTTCTAATCTACAATCAACACTCGAGACAAATTAAAAGTTGCGACTCATTCTTAGCATTGAATATGTTGTCCACAATGATGGCATTAATGACAATAATATACAATGGCCTAATCAACTTGGAAGTGCAAGACAAGCACCAGAAGCAAGATTTGAAGACTGGATCATCATCATCATCATAGACTTATGACTAAAGCCAGGATAAACACTAGTAAAATGCACAGTTTATAATGGAAAAAATCGCGGGCGAGTCTTCGATCTAAGCGAAATATAGCAAATAAGTCGTCACCTATTTTTAGTTCCATGTACACTAATATATTTTTAGTGCAAGGTCCATAGTTTCCATCTATTTGACTATTAAAAAATCACGTGATGATTACATATTTGATTTTCAAGAAGTAAACTTGTTATGTAGACGGAAACGGAATGAGTCCATTGAGAACTATGTGCTACAAAAATGAAAGGTCAAAATTCCACAAGCAATGAAGAAAAGGTTGAGGAATTAGTTGAAATTCACATAAGTTGAAATGCCACATAATTTTTTATCGATAGTGCACAAATACAAATCAAAATTTACTTGTTAGAATGTACCAATTTCCATCTCAAAAGTAAAAAAATCTCACCTAAAAATCAGAATGTTCACAGAAAAGGTACAGAAACATTCATTCGAACATTCAAGATTATCGTTAGCCTAAATAATGAGCAAATGACTCGAATGCCATGCTTGCTTGAGTGAAATCATACGAATATTGGAACGGAACATGTACTTCAGGTAAACTAAAGAAACAGAAAACCTTGTAGGTAAATATGCCAGAAATTGTCAAGAAAACATGCAGTGATGCCTTCCATGGATCTATATCACCATCTCAAACTTCTTGAAGACATTAAATCTCATTATTATTTGCAGCATAATTCATCCATAGCTGCATAATCAAGAATTAGCCAATCCTTGCTTCATTCTTCAGGCACCACTATCTTCTTTGATATACCAATGGACTCAGTTAAGGCAAACCACTGATTTCCCATGTTATAATAGATCAGAGCTACGATTTTGATCCTAGCTCAGAAGGAATGTAGCTATATGCTTGAAAAGAGCGAATTGGGCGTTGTTCTCAAGGAGAAGGGCACAAGGAAAAATGTCTTACCCAGGAGGAGAGATGTCTTTCTACAAGATCATGAGTCGGCATCTCTTTATAACTTCCTATTTCGTGGTGTGCAATTTCATGAACTGCAGTAGTGGCTATGATCAATTCGGTAGTATTTTTGGAGGAGCCATATGGATCTCCAAACTTAACGATATCTAGATTGCTTGTTTTCAATACCTATTGTAACACCAGAAGCCGATATAGACACGACAGAATGGACTTGTTTACACTTGCGGAATTGAAGACTCGTTTTATATACACAGATCAAGAACACATGAAGGACACAAGCATTTAAGTAGTTCATTGTAAGAAGCCTAATACCAAAAGATCCACCTATCAAGAACAGCTAATATCACAGAATTGATAGGAATAATTGTTAATCCAAACACAGATTTTCACAAATTGAGGAGAAAATGCAGCATTTCCAGGAAAAGTCAGGATTTACCCAAGTTCAATCATCCCCAGTTGGAAACAGGGTGAGGACTTTCCTCCCATTTCCAGCCCTGGGAGACTCCAAATCCTCGACATACAATGGTGGTGCCACTGAACCATTACTAATATGAACTGGCGCACCCATTCTCTGCACCTGCTGCTGTGATTGCCTTATAAAGGGATGGTCAAATTGCCCGTTTGGCGGTGAGGTCCCAAAATGCCTAAACTGCTGCTGCAGCTGCTGATGGTGGTGGTGCGGCCTTTGCCCTTGCCCCGGACCAACCACGGCCGCCATCTGATGCTGCTGCTGCATTGCGGCCACAGGCATAAAGGGCAAAAAATGGTCGGAATTTGGCCTGCCTGGATGCAAAAAATGTGCCGGCACAGGTGAGCTTGCGAACAAATGGTCTGTAGGATCCACACTAACACTACTCCCACCAACACCACCACTGCCATTACTGGAAATTCCCTGCATCCGCTTCAGATAAAGCCTGTATTTCTGCAAATGGCTAGCAACATTCTCTCTTGTAAGTCCATCCACACTCATCAGCTGCATTATAGTCTTGGGCACGGCATTCTTGATCCCCAAATGAGCCACTGCATCCACAAATCTCTTATGCAGCTGAGGAGTCCAAACAAGCCGTGGCCGCTTCAGGGTCCGAGCCGGCTCGTCCGACCCCACACCACCTCCGGCCCCGGCTACTCCACCATCATCACCACCCCCTCCCGACCCAACCAACTCAACCGAGTCGAGTTCTGCGGAAGAGTTAGGTTGAGAAGACTGTGCGGTGGTCTGTAGCGGAGGCGGAGTGCTCTGATGGTTGTGATTTGGTGGTGGGTTTCGAATATCAAAAGCCAGTGCTAAATCAGGGGTTATTAGGGTTTGGGATAAAGGCATCAACTCTTCTGGTGATGGCAATTCCTTTTCCCATTTTGCAAACCAATTCGAATCCTCCTCCCTCATCTTACACTCAAAATTTTCTTGAATAGGCAGTTTATTGGGAATCAAACACTATATGGGTTGATTTTCTTTTTCAAGATTTTGCCAAGAAACACACCAAAATTCAAAGTGGGAAGCAAAACTGTAAATTTGAACGAATTCGCAGAGAATTTTTTTAAGAAAAAATTCTTCTTTCTCCCACTATCAAGAAAGATACAAGAACTGATTCATTCGTAGACAGAGAGAAGACAAGAGAAAAAATTCTTCTGTGTGTGAGACTGAGTGAGTGTATGGAGGAAGCAGGGGTGGGGTGGGTGATCGAGGTGGATCTTGTTTAGCTTTTAGTATGTCTACTATTTGTTGATTCCCTGCGATTTTTGTGTGTAAAGGTTGCATTTTTTCTTGAGAGTGAGTGTCCACTGCTAAAAAGATTTTTATTTCACAAACCTATACATACAAAGCTGTATATATATCGTACGTATATAATCCACATAAATGTCTTGAAGCGTGGACGACACGCTTGACTCCAATTGGATAATAATTGTTGCATTTTGACATGGCGCGTGTTGTAATACGGCAGAGAAAGTGGGGAAGAAGTACGGCGGCAGTAATATAGATGAGGTTTTGTATTATACGGAGAATGAAATTTGTGATTAGGAAAATAAATTATTAATCAAAAGAGAGAGAAAAAATGGAAAGTGTGAAGAAAATGCAAAGTTAGGTCACTTTGTGGGGAATCCTCTTTTGGTTTTAACACTTGACAAGGGAATCTATCAAATGAGTTCTATGGGTGTGTTTGTGGAGTAATTTAAGTTCTCGTTTAGTAGGTTAAACTCGACTCCGACATTGAGTCCCACTTCTCGGTAGAAATTAAAATTTTAATTTAAATCAAAATCAATAATTAATTTTAATCACACATTTTGTAGAATTTCAATTTTTCAATCACATATTTAATCAACTTTTATCAAAATATATTAAAAATCTGATTTTAATCCCCACCAAACAATGACTTAATTTTGCTAAAAATCAGATAAAGTTAATGAAATTTGTGATTGAAAAGTTGATGAAAGTTGTGGATCCCATAAAATATTTAATTAAAAATAATTGTTAATTTTGATTTAAATTTTTATCAACTTTTTTAACTAAACCAATTAGGAGGGAATTTTTGGGTGCTCAATGTGAGTAGTGGGGTGTTTATGCAAATGATAGGATATTAGTGTTGACTTTCATTGCAGGATTCCTTGTTTTAATTGTGATTAGAAAGTTAAAGTTTGATGCTAATTTGATTAAATGACGTGTGCAAATCAAAATCCAACAAAATAGCAAGGAGTTAAATGGTTTTAAAAATAAGCTAAAACTTAAGGTTAGAAAAATAATTATAATAATTGACATTGATTATTTCAACATGGTTAAGTGCTTGCTGGCTAAGCTTTTAAGTTCTTATAATATGTGGTGAAAACGTAGACGGAAATTATGAATCTTACGGGATGTGTATAAAATAGAGTTTGATCAGCTTATGAACATATCAGTACTATGTTTGGGAAAAGAAATTATTTTTAAGAATCAATAAATACCTTTTCAATTTTTTTCTTTGTATAAAAATCAACCAAATTGTATAAAAAAAATATTTGATAATCCATTATTATAGGAATTTTCACATTTAATTAATTAAATGTCCAAATAGACATCCTACCAAATTAAGCATCTAAAGTAAATTATTTGAGATATCAATCTCAATAACTTGTATGATGAACACTCATGGCATGTTTGTCTATCCTTTAAAAAAATTGAGTTAGATAAGATTAAGGCTCTGTTTGTCTATCCTTTAAAAAATTAAATTGGTTTCTACAGTATCATTTCTCCATCACACATCTATATCATTTCTACAGTATCATTTCTTCACCACACAAACCAATAAAGTTTCCTTACTTTTTAACCACACATTCTCTAAAAAATATTATTCTATAATTTATTATTCCTAAATAAATTCTATCAAACAGGCACTAAGATATAAGTCGAAATATTATTCGCTACTATGTACTATTCAATACTATGAAAGGCGGAAATGTATGACAACTGCGTGCACTATTTGCGGTTGAAGGCAGAGACGAAGCAACGACATAGTTGAAATACAGGAGAAACATGTATCTAAACTGAAAATTCTGAGAAATGATAGCATCAACGAGAGAAAGAATCAGTGAATAAAAGTTTCGAATGCCCTAAGAATTTTACGACGCAGCCAATAGAGACTTGGCTGGTGGCAGCAACGCGACAGCCCCTCTCTCAGGACTCGAGTATTTCTTGTAGATCACCTTCAGTTTGTGATCTGCAGCCATCGAATGGAAGCTAACCAGTAGTTTAGCGCACTCCCTGCTCGAAAAATTGATACGAATACATATTATTATTATTATCTACACACAAAACTTAAAGATAGATGATAATTAGAATTGAAAATAAGCAAGAAATTGGACTTACATAAGTTGTGGCTCCGAGTAACCTGTGTGGATTTTAAGTGTCTCGGTCCATACAGGCACCTTATTTAGGGTGCATCTTGCAGCATAGACTGCCGAGGCAGCAATCATGGATGGACAATGCATAACAATGGCATAATTCATCATTCCAAGCTCGGCTAGAAAATAGACCATGTTCTCCACCTTATATGGTTCATAGCCGAGTCGAAATATACTTGCACAAGAATCAGGTAAAGAAGCTTTTATGAACCGTACAAGGAACATATACGGCGTGGGTACTGTTAAGTTCCACTCCAATTCTCCGAGTATGCGTTTCTCCATACGCAAGACCTGTTCATTGGTATAGGCTCTGTCTGATATGCACACCAAGTCATTGACCTGCAAAAGTATAGTCTTTAGTTTCAAATGTTCATAGAGAAGATTAGTGTACGGTCGAAGGAACTTTAGTAAACCACCTCAGGGGCCCAAATTTCTTCGTATTTAGAGGCAATAAGCATCGAGCTTATGCCTAACAACTGAAGTTCCCTCCTTGATGTTGTCTTTACAGCGAGATAGCGATCAACAATGTTGATAGTCAAGTAGAGAGTCTCTGGGGAAAGCTCGAATTTGTGGTGGACTTGAATCAACCAATCAACCAAAATTGCTCTCATCTTCTCGTTTATCTCAGGTTGTGAATCCATGTAGTCATGGGCCCGGCTTTCATTCTGCAAAGCCCGGTATTTATTACGATCACAACTAAATGAAAATCGACCATGGAGAGAGAGAGTGTGTGTGTGGGGGGGGGGGGGGGAGTAGAGCCTGTTTGAGCCCCATTGTCTCAACAAAACGCATTTTGGAATGGTATTTCGATGGAGAATGTGTGGTTAGAAAATAAGGAAAGGTTTTGGATTTGCATATAATATTATTTTATTGAAGAATGTGTGGTTGAAAAAAGAGAAAAATGTATTTTGGAAATAATGTGGACCAAACAAGGGCTTATTAAATCTATT